GCCTATGGGCTCTCTGGTAGGCAGAGCTCTCTCTGCTTCCTAGTGCTATGTGCTGGGATGCTTTCCTCTGACCCACTCTGGCCTTGACATTCTGTCTCATCTTGAGTCCAGAGCAGTGGAGTTGGCCATCTATGAACTGAGACCAAATAAACTTTTCCTCCTCTAAAATTGTTCTCATCAGGTGTTTTTTGTACAACAGTGAGAAAGCTCTAGTTTCATTTCTAGTAGGGAGGAAGAACTTGCCTTTAGAAAAGATGATTTCTCTCATTTACCTGATACCAACTTAATCTAACCGATTGAGATGATGCAGAACCCAATGAGTTCAGGAACCAAGCTTTATTAGTTTAAGGCTTTTACCTTCTAGAAAACCAGTTCAGACCACAGAAAGACCCTAACCCAAAGTGTAATGGATAATAAATTAATAATAAATGCCATAAATTCACCATAACCTTATAGTGGTGAGATGATCTTTAACATTAATTGTTCTGTTTGTCTTTTATATTTTGAACTTGACAGTGCTATGGAATTATGGTGGAGATTACATCTATTTTGAGATTACACTGAAGTTACTACTTTAGAACTTATTCTTTTTTACTCTTTATTTATAACTGTAAATGCCCATGTTAAAGAAGTTTTTCAACTCAATAACCTAATCTTCCACCTTACAAAATTGGAAAAAAAAAAAAAAGAGCAAACTAAATCAAACTAAATAGAAGGAAGGAAATGTTAGACTGGAAGTAAATGAAGTATAGAAAAGCAGAAAAATCAAAACCAACTTCTAGTTCTTAAAAATGTCAATGAAATCAATAAAAATCTTTGGCTAGCCTGGGCACAAATAATACCCAAATTACTAAAATCAGGAATTAAAGAAGACCATCACTACTGACTTTATAGAAATATAAAGGACTACAACARTACCATAATAACTGTACCTCAACAAGTTAAATAACCTGGATGGAATGGAACAATTCCTAAAAAAGATACACACTACCAAAACCAACACAAGAAATAGTAACTCTAAACAAGGGTTAAGGGTTGAAGCTCAGTGGTACAGCATGTGCTTAGCATGCACAAGACCTCCAGTTAAATCAGAAAGGAAGAAAATCTAAGGACAACAATATGAAAGAAAGCAATAAATTAAAAAAAAAAAAAACTTCCAAAACAAATTCCCACAGACCTAGGTGGTTTCACCAGTAAATTCTACCAAACTTTTAACTAATTAGACTTTAAAAAACCTTTTAAAAATAGGACATTTCCATCTCATCCTGTGAGACTTTATGCCAAATTCAAAGAAATCACAAGAAAAATACTATTAATTATATCTACAGCAGGTAGAATCATGTCCTCCCCTGCAAAGGATACATTCAAGCCCTAATCACTAGTACTTATGGACATGTCCTTATTCAGAAATAAGGTCTTCGCAGATGTAATCAAGTTAAGATTTTAGATTAGGGAAAAGGGAACTCAGAGACAGGGAAGATGCCTTGTAAAGATGAAGGAGGGATTAGAGASTCTACTAGACAAGGAATGCCATGGTTGTCAGCTACCACCAGAAACTAGGAAGAAGCAAGAATGATTCTTCCCCTAGAGCCTTAGGAGGGAGCAAAATCCTGCCAGCAACTTGATTTTTGTCCTTTTAGTCTCTAGATCTGAGAAAACAAACTTCTGTTGTTTTAAGCCACTCAGTGTGTGGTAATTTGTTATGGTAGACCTAGCAAACCAACACAATCTCCCTTATGAATATAGTTGCAAAAATTTCCACCCAGATACTGGCAAACTGAATCTTGCAAAATATAAAAAGGATTAAGCACCTTGACTAAGTGGGAATTTTCCCCTGAAATACAAGTTTGGTTCAATCTAAGAAAATCAAGCAATGATATTATCATATTGACAGAATAAAGAACAGAAAACACATGATCATCTTGACAGACACCAAAAAAAAACACTCTTCCATTGACAAGAGCTATTTACAAATTAGGAATAGAAAGAAACTTTCTTTACCGGATAAAAAGCTATGTATGAAAAATCCAGAGCTAACATCATATTTAGTGTTTCAACAGTAAATTGAAGTTCAACATTAAGTTTTTACCCTTGGCCAGTTGCAGTGGCACATACCTGTAATCAGCAGCTTGAGAGGCTGAGGCAGGAACATTCCAAGTTCAAAGCCACTCTCAACAATTTAGTGAGGCCCTAAGCAATTTAGTAAGACCTTGTTTCAAAATAAAAAATTCACAAAGGGCTGAGGATGTGACTCAGTGGAAAGCACTTAGCTCAGGACCAACACAAGGATATTAGCTCTTGACACTTCCATTCAACACTATAGTAGAGGTTCTGATCAGGTCAATTAAGCAAGGAAAAAAATGAAAAGTATTCCAATTGTAAAGATATTTAAAATATATATATATATATATATATATATAGTTGGTACACTAAAAACTACAAATAGCTAAACATCACTGTTTTTTAAGTGGAAAAGCAACTCATGTTCATCCTATGTTGGAGGATTTAATATTATTTATATGACAATATTACCCAAACTGATCTAAAGATTCAATAACCTACTAAAATCCTAGCTGGCATTTTTTGAAAAACTGACAAGTTGATTCTAGAATGCAAGTAACCTAGAGAATCAAAACAATCTTGAAAGAGAACAGTCTTTGAGGACTCCTTCTTCCCGACTTCAAAACCTAATACAAAGCTATAATAATCAAGACAGTATGCTACTGGTGTAAGTAAAAACATAAAGATCAATAGAATAGATCTGAGAATACAGAAATAAGCCTAARCTTATATTTATGGTCAACTGATTTTCAATCAGTACTCCAAGACAATTAAATGAGGAATGAACAGTCTTTTCAATAAATGAGACTGGAATATTAGACATCCACGTGGAAAAGAATTAAGTTGTGTCTCTTACCTCACACCATATACACAAGTCAAAAATGGATCAAAACTCTAAATAAAAGGGCTAAGGGTTAGAGCGGCTCAGTGCTGGAGCGCTTGTCTAGCACATGTGAGACCCTGGGTTCAATCCTCAGCACCATATAAAAAATAAATGAATAAAATAAAGCTATGAAAAAGTTACCTCATTAAAAAAAAACTTTGAACATAATGAAAAAGTAGGTGTTAACCTTTTTGACTTTAATTATTCAATGGTTTCTTACATATGACATTAAAAACCCAAGTAACCCAACAGAAATAAACTGGGTATCATTAAAATTTTAAAAATTTGTGCTTCAAAGGACACCATTAAGGAGGGGAAAAAAAAAAAAAGACAACCAGACAAACAAGTGAAATATCTGCAAATCATACGTGTAAGACTGGACTTGAATCCAGAACAAAGAAAAAGAACTCTTTATAATTCAAAAAGAAAAGACAGCCAGGCTCAGTGGCACACATTTGTAATCCCAGCCGCTCAGGAGGCTGAGGCAGGAGGATCACAAATTCAAATCAAGCCTCAGAAGTGAGGCACTAAGCAACTGAGACCCTTTCTCTAAATAAAATACAAAATAGGGCTGGGGATGTGGCTTAGTGGTTGAGTGGCAGAGTTCAATCCCTGCCACCCACCTCCAAAAAAAAAATAATCCAATTTTAAAATGTTCAAAGAATTTGAATACATTTTCATAAGCTATATAAATGACCAATAAGCATATGAAAAGATACTTAATTAGAAGTTATTATAGAAATGCAAATCAAAACTACAATGAGATACTTTGTCACCTACTATATAAACTTTAATAAAAAAAAAAAAAAGGCAGACAATAACAAGTATTGGTGAGGGAATGTGGAAGAACAGAAACCTTATAAATTGCTGATGGGAATGAAAATGGTGAAGTTGTTTTGGAAAACAGCAGTTCCCCAAAGAGTTAAATATACAACTACCATATGACCCAGAAACTTAGCTACCAAGAGAATCAAAAACGTGTCCACTCACCAAGCTGTACATGAACAATCACAGCAATATTCAAATTGCCAAAAAAGCATAAACATTCTAATGCCCATAATTTGATAAACTGAAATTGGCTGTGAACTCTACAAACTCTAATAAGGTCTGTACTCCTAGCATGCTGGCTATATATTCTGCTTGGTTATATACTTGGTTATATAACTGTTCCAATTTTATAATCACTATACTGTACACTTATGTACTACACACATAAAAGACAATGTTCCAGCTTTACAAAAATTAGTCTCCAATGGTCCTGACTGTAATATATTCTTCCATGTTGATTTTATTGGAATACTTGTTTTAATTCTGTTTTAGCGAAGTTCCATGAGTCTGCCGCTATGCCACCACCCTCTTAGATTAATACTGATCCTAACTCCAATCCAAATCAGAGGACAAGACTTACTCATTCTGTGTCTTTAAAAATGTGAGAATGTCTATTTTATTCCAAGGACCTTTTCTAGCCACCTCCTCCCAAATTTCTCCCATTCCCAAAATAACAATTGTCTTCTTCAAACAAAATATACTGGATCCTTTATCTGCATCCATGCCCAGAAGAGGTTCCTTTCTGAGCATTTTTAAGCATAGTGCCCAAATTGGAATATATTCTATGTATAAGCAAACTAGAGTAGGACTTTCATTAACCATATCTTCCTCCATTTTGTTGGCTTCTACCACTTTAGAGATTAGATATTGCAAAGAATATGGGCTCAAAGCCAAAAGGACAGAACAGTGGTTATAGTCTGAATGTGTCCCACAATTCTTGTGTTGGAAACTTAATTACGATCACAAAGCAATTAAAGCATAATAATTTGAAAGGAATCATTTATTGAACATTTTTTAAAATTTGAAATTAATGTACATTTGATTTTAAAAATTTTGCATTAGATTACCACAGATTTACATACAACCATAAACTGAAAAAAATACAAGAAAGTTTCTATGTGATACTAACAAAGAAACTCTTTCCTTTATTGTAAGAAAATAAACTTTCAGAAGCTAAAGCTAGCTTTTCAGTCGTGCAAAATACTAACACTTTAAGCAGAAAGTTTTATTTTTAAGAGAAAGTAACATTTTTCTATATTTGACCTATATTTTAATTCTTTCCAGTAGAACCAAAACCTCCTGAACCCCTTTCAGTGTCATTCAACACCTGAAAGAAAAGTAATGACAGTTAATTTTAGAGCCTCTTTCAGTTCTTCTACCCAGCCTCTACTATAAGACTTTTAAAGATTACAAAAAGAAACTTAAATTTTAAAAATACCCCACAAATTAGAAAATTGGATATTTGTCTAAAAAGCTAATGAAATATTCAAATTTCACAATATTATTAAATAATTCATTATCCAAAGTAATGCTACATAATATCTACATGAAAATATGTCATGAGCTGGGTACAGTGGTGCATGCCTGTAATCCCAGCAACTCATGATTAGAGGCAAGCCCCAGCAGCTTAGCAAGGCAYTAAATAACTTAGCAAGACTCTATCTCAAAATACAAAATAAAAAGGGCTGGCACTATAGTTCAGTGGTAAAGAACCCTGGGTTCAATTCCTAGGATCAAAAATAAAATCAAGAAATTCTAAAAGTAAGATCTTAAGTCATCTTTACTGCTAGCTACAAACAGCATATTAAACCCTCTAAGCTGTGTCTTTTCTTCACTTGCAATGTCACTAATTATTAAGCTTTTATAACACTTACTTGAACTTCTTCTATATCTGGATAAAAAATCCGTTCACAAATGAGCTGTGCTATTCGATCACCTTTTTTTACTTCAAAGAAAAAAAAAGCTTATTAGTGATTTTATTCATGTACTCTTTTATATCTTGCCTTATTCATTGAGTATTAGAGGAGTCAGTATTATTGACAGAAACTCAGAACATTCACTACGTTTATGGGAATACATATATGTATTTAACATACCTTCAAACTTCTCTTTGCCAAAATTAAATAACACAACACCAATATTTCCTCTATAATCTTCATCTATGACACCAGCTAGAGGAAAGAAAAATAATATCTTGATTATTATATCAAAACACTATGAGTATAAAATTACATTAAAATCATTCTTATGTAGCTCTCAGACTTTTATACTTAGAACTTCAGTAAGTGAACCTTCCTTTAGCACTATGTAATGCCTCAAAAACAAAAAAAGGTATTACTAAAATGTAGATAAGAATTTAGAAAATTGGTCCTAATTTCCTATCTGTCACCCTTATTAAATGGTAACCATTTCCTACTTTAAGCTAATAATGGCAATTACCATCTCTACCCACTGCATACTTGCCAAAAAGACTAGCAGAAAATTATGATTTGGGCTTCGAAGACTTTTCCTGGGAACAGTTTTTCACTAATATTGATCGATACATGACCAAATCATAAATAAAAATGTAAAAAAGCCCCAAAAGATCTACAGCAGAAATGAGTTAATGCTTACACTGTTAAGCAGCAAATTAAAAATACCAGAACACTCCATTTTTACTTTTCCGTTCACATCCTTCCTCTCTGAACCACCATTCTTTCTAAAATCACAAGCTCTCAGAAGGTATTAGCTCATAGTTAATAATGAGTACACTTATATGTACATTAGTGTTTGAGATTATGAACACATGGAGAGCAAATCTTTGCAGGAAAGTTGAGCCTGGCCAACTAGCATGGTCCAGAGAGCTACTTTCAACAGACTTGATACCATTTGTCTTTGGGTCAAGAATTTAAAATGCTTCCATAAAGACAAATACAAATAATACAGGTGCACCAGGCCTTCTCATTTCTTTTTATATTGAAATCTAATTCACATATAATTCATCCATTTAAAGTATATGATCCCAAAGTTCATAGCATATTCAATGTTGTACAAGCATCACTAAAATCAATTTTATAACATTTTTATCACCCTATCAGGAAATCCTCTACCCATTAACAGTTATTTCCCATCCCTTGGAACTTCCTATGATACATATTCTTTCTGCTGTTATGAAAAGCTGGATAGGATTCTTATGAAATATAGAATATAGCTCCATTTTACATCTGACTTCTTATRAATACTCTTCCTTGTCCCTTCTCCAAAATACCCTCATGAAAGCAGAGAATAAAAATCGGAATATCTTGATGGGTACAAAGGCTAGTTAGYTATACTAATTACTTTAAGGTTAAAAAAAATTAGGCTGATTATGAGTCAGAAAATGCCTGTTAAGAAGGTACTTTAAAAATGGGCTGAAAAGCAGGAAAGGCAATTCACTTCATGTCTAGACTGAAGGAAATGGTTTACTCTTTTCTAGTGGAACAGCAACAAAATTTGACCAATTCAAAGAGTATTAAATCCTAGTTTCTTTCCCCACTGCCAAATGACCATTAATTTAGCCCTCAATAATTATGAAAAGAACCGATATTAAGATGGGACCAGCAGTTTTCCATGTATCTACACAGAGGAAGTTTTGACTGTAGAAATGATTTAGCTTAGATTTAACACAGAAGACCCTTTTGTATACAGCATATTGTTCCAGGCCAGGGTAATAACACATTTATCTCAAATGAGTTTGTGGACTGACTGCCTTCAAAATTATTTTGTTTCTATTTTATTAGAAAAATTTTAAATTATTCAAACAACAGTAATACACATAAAGTAAAAAAAAAAAACACTAGCCAATATCACAGTAATACACTGCATTACTTTACTTTTTCCATTAAAAATAAAAGATATCCTTTGAGATTAATATGTATAAACCTGTCACTCTCCAGCCCTTGACAAATATCCCTGCATAAATGTCAAATAGGTTCCAAAAAGCACTTTCCTGGGTAAAATGGTGTGTATATTYTATACTTTGGAGGGTATTGCTAGATAACTTTACAAAAAAGGTATAGCCAAACTTCTATCAGCAATATTTGAAAATGCCCATTTCCAAAATCCTTGCCAGTGCAATGGTAGCAACTTTTAAATTCTGGCCAATAATGATCAGTAAAAAATGATATTTAATTGCTTTACTTTGAATTTCCCTGAGGACCAGTGATGCTGGATTTCTTTCCTTCCATTGTTTACTGGACATTTATATGTCCTCTTCTATATTTTGGCTATTTTTTTTCTTACATATTCAAGTTGCATATATTTGCTGGTTTAAAAAAAGCTATATTTTCTACCATATAAAAATACTCTCATGTTGTAAAAGGCTCTGCTGTACATCTGTAAAGTTGTCTTGTTAGTAGCACTCAAATAGTTACGAGTCTTCAATTCTACAGGGCCAAGTGACCTACTAAGACTTTATACTTGGCAACAGGAAAATGAGAAAAGTCTTTAAGTGACTAAAAGAAACGAAATTGAAGTCAATGAACATATGGCAGAAAAAAAGCCTTCAATTATGTTAATTTTACTATAAATAACAATGTTATACAAAATTCAACAGGTTGTAGTTCAATTATTAATTGAAAGTCAACTGCCATTTGACTTTCAAGAAAAGCAAGATTTATTCATTCTTTGCATAATGGATATAGGCATCAGGGATATTTCTTTTCATGAGAAAGCAGAAAGTATCTTGAAGTTATCACTGGAAAAAATCATGCATTGGAACTGGCAGAGTGATTAACTGACTTCAGGCACAAGTTTTATTGTGTCAAGACTTTGGCATGTCATATGCTGGAAACCTTTTTTAGTGAAAACTATCCACACCTACCAGATGTGAATTCTGAACAGAATCCTGCATACTAAACTTTTCCCTTTGACCCTTATTTATAGCCTGGGATTTCTAACAATCTCTCTCTTAAGAAATAAAAATTCTTGCCAACTCTGATAAACTTGTGCCTGACATTTTAAACATATTTCTGCATCCAAGAACACACCACAATGTAATTTTATGAACAACACCATACCATCCACCAGGCAAACTGATTTTCCAATTACATGAATTTTCTTCCAGAGGATTGTTTTAAACAAAGCAAAAACTGGTAAAAAAGTTGAAAAAAGATTTTCCACATTAAAAAAAAAAAAAAAACTTAACTCCCTAGCCAGCAGAAATGATAAAACAGACTTTAATACATGCCACGCACTATGTCATATGGTTTACATAATCATTAATCCTCCAATTCCTCAGAGACAAGCACACCAATTTCTATTATACAAAGGAGAAAACTGAGCCTCAGAACTCATGTTTCTTTCAAAGCAGGCCTTTGAAATTTTCTTAAAAAACATACACTCTTTTTACATTCTTAAGTTAGATTACAATTATATCCCAAATAATATTTGAACCTCCAAAAGTATTTTTGAAAGTCAGGTGTAACTTAACTCTGGAGTGGGTGGACAATCCCTAGCTAAATAAAACTCAGCTCCCCAAAGAACTACTTTTTGGCTTTGTCTTGCCCCACAGCACCACCTAGTGACACCATGAGGATATATCAGGCCTTTCCAAAATGTTAAGCCAAGATCTGGCCGCCTAGGCTTCATCATGAGCTTAAATCCCCCAACAGAGGCAGGGCACAAGTCAAACTAATTCAGGACCCTGATTAGTTAGTGAGGGAGATGAGGTAGGCTAATTCAGCATTTAACTGCAAAGGAAAGAACAAGGATGTTAGAATCATATCAATAGTCTAAACATGTTTAAACATGTTATCACCTTAGGCTCATTTCTGAGCTGGTTTCCTCATCTATTTAAAAAGAAAAAAAAAAAAACCTTCATAGAATGCTTTGTATAAACGATCATAGGAAAATCTAGAATACCCACATGATCTAGAATACCCACTTACCTGAAGGCCAACATGTTGTTAAATGAAGCACTATCTCATTAACGAAGATAAAAAAAGAACCAGGACATGGGGATTATATCAATGGGGTGTGTACTACAGGAAGAGATTAAATTTTCTGAGAGAGAGGAGGTTAGAAATGCTTTATCAGGGGTGGCTAGCAAAGGTCACTGGGGCTTCTTCATGACAGGGGCGACACGGGAAACTTGTTAGCTATGGGAGATATGAGTAAGGTTTTGTTTTAAGGGAAATACATGCCACAGAAGACTTTCCTTGGAAGAAATTTTAGAGCAGCAGTGTTTTCTCTCTTCAAGGAAAAGATTGTTTTGATATATTTTGCCAAACATGGACAGCCTCTTAAAAGGAAAGAAAGTCCTTACTAGATAGATCTATATTTATAGAACCTTTTGTTTGAGAATTATTTAATACTTATTAATAACTACCTAAGCAAAATATAATTGCTTAAAAATAATCACAAAATCTTTTCCTTTTGTGTAGTCATTTTTGGACTAACTACAGATTATCACTAAACCAAGGCAAAAATCTTTTCTGTCAGATAGTGCCTGGTTAGCCTGTTAGTAAAATAACATAAATTTTACAATTATCACTTAAAAAATTTTAAATTATCAAATAGTATTTGAGACTGTATAATAATTATCTATTATTTCAGATATGGKTTTTTTTGGAGGGGGAGGGTAGCAAAGATTGAACCTAGGGGTACTTAACCACTGAGCCTGCCTCAGCCGCCCAAGATATGGAAATTTCTAAACAGTCAAGAGAATAAAAATGCAATTCCTTTTCTTGATAATAAAAATGCAATCTGTCATTTGAATACACATTACCTTTTAAGTAAAGACAAAGCGAATACACACATTTGCACAATTTAAAAATAAATATATTACCTCCTACATCTATGAAGTATTTTGCAGCCAGGCCAGAACGTGGAGCTGAAAACAAAAAGGAAGCCATTGGTTATTTTAAGTGGGGAGGGGCAATACTGGACACAATATAATTTATGCAATTTAAGCATATCTCCTCTACTATGTCTATATCTTCATCTTAGCCTTATTAGACAGTTCTGAATTAAAGATTGCTTAATCATAATGCATTACCAAAGTTGGAAAAACTAGTTTAGAAATTCAGCCAGGTTTTACTAAAAACAAAAAACAAACAACAACAACAAAACAACACTTAAACCAGCCCCATATGACTTCAGTCAATTGAGGATTTGTGGTATAGACCTGGGAAATGACTGCTGGAGTGAAGTGAGAGCAACCACAGACTGCTCTTGCAAGAAGTTTGGCCACAAAGGGGCAAAGAGGAACTGTAGCTGGCCAGGGACACCATGTTAAGGAAGATGATTTGTTTTAAGATGGGAGACCGGAACAAATACAATGCTGATAAGAAAGGGGTGGGGAGAGCAGCAGGGAAAGGGAGAGAGGAGAAGGGAGGGGAAGGGAGAGTTAGAGAGAGGGGGGGAGGAAGAAACCTAACAAAACAGTAGCAGCATTTAGCCTAGAACTTAGGACTCCTACTCATGACTCTGATGTCAAAACACATAACTTTGTTAAAACACATGAACCAGAGTAAGATAAAAGGCCTTGTATCAGTTAAGTAAAATGCCAATGCTAAACATTCAACTCCTGTGTTTTTTATTCTAAAGAAAAGTTTTTACTTTATAACTTGCTGGCTTAAGCATGAGACCCACAATTATTCTAAATTCTATTATTTTATTTCAGAATAATTTAAATCAGGTACTTTGTCAATAAATGCTACTTCTTCTGCCTTAATTTTTTATTTCACTATTTCCTGGCCATCCCCCCCCTAAAAACTCTAAAAGTAGAGACAGTGATGCTAAAAGGGACCACCAGGAGAAAAATCATCATGTTCTCTTAAGGGATGAAGTACTAGTAGTTCTCCTATGCGTGGCTAACAAGATTGAGTTAAGTCTAACTCTCTCCCCAGAGGAGGGGCTAACAGTTGCATATGCCCCTTTGTGTACTTATTTAAAAGTACTTATGTTTTTGACAAATTCAGGACTAACTCTGGTGACAAATGACTCACTCCAGAAAAAAAAAGAAAAAATCTGTTGATTTGCAGTCTGTTTCGTACTAGCTTCCTAGAATACGGCTTTCTCTCAAGAAAACTATTGTTCCTTACTGGAACCCCATGGGATGATACTGAAACAAGATAAGAGTCTATGGGCTGACATACTCTGGAGTAAGTTCTACTCTCTTAATATAATGTGCCATCACTGTAAGTCCCTATTTCCTAATACAAGAAGTATTAGCAACTCTCATCCCAATCTTCACAAAGAAACTTGACCTAATATGCAACGTAATCTTTGAAGGGAGAAATTCGGCACTCTGGAAAAAGATCCAAATAATAATCAACTACATTTTTAGTTTTTCTGTGAGGAGTTATGTGAGTCTCCCAAAAACACAAATAAGGAATCAGAAATAAGAGMGCCAAAGAGAAAGACCAAAACATGTATGTAAATAAAATTTTTCAAATGACTGTTTGCCATCATAGATGGCACTTCATTATTTTAGGACCAAGACCAAGCAATAYTAATCCAACAACACTAAGATTAAATACCTTATCACAAAGAAAGGGCTTGACAAATAGTTACCTGTTTCTTGAATCACTTACCTATTCTTCCATAGCACCCAGAAGGAAGAGCTATCTGAATGTCTGTTTTCACAAGGGCTTTCTCCATAGGTGGTACTATATAATCATAGGCACTACAAAATAATTAAAAAAACAACAACAGTACTTACTTATAAAATTGTTTTACATTCTTTCCTTGTGATGATGCATATAGAATTGCTTTAAATACATTTCATAAAATAGTACAATCTTAGGCTAATGTTGCCAACTAATGTTGCCATGACAAACTTCCAATTCATCTTTAAAAAGTTCAAAAAGGTAGATGTTTTATTTATTAATTAAAAGGTAAGTGTAGATGAAAGAATATGAATCTTATGGTGGTAGGAAGATATGTCGACAACGTAAATGTCTCATCTCTGAACACAATGGGAAACTGACAAAAAAGTCAAACTTTAAATGGTACAAACTTTGCTAATACCGTGCGAAACAGGAAAATGAAGAACCAAATAATGGGGCAAATATGTTTATATGTATTAACTCATTTTATTCTCATTACAATTCTGTGATTACAAAAAAACTGCAGAAGAAAATTGTAGGCAAAATAAAGGGTGGGGGAAGGTAGAGCTGTTTTGTATCAGTTCTGCCTGGCTGTGTAGTTCACCAAACCTATGACCATGAACTTCACCAAGTAAGGGATCACTCTAAATAGCCCCTGGAAATCAAGTGCTGAGGTACTGATTCTCTAAGGTCCATCCAGCAAATTGCTAATACTTCTTGTATAATACAAGTATTGGCAATTCTCATTTGTCTGTATCCCCCTCATTAAAAAAATTTAAGAGATTTGACAATGAGCAAAACTGGAAGTTCCTCTGCAGAACTTAAGTCCCATAAAGCAGTACTATATTTTCACTGTAATTTTCTTTCTTTAAACCGTTAAGCACTAATTTATTARAGACATCAGATATTTCCACATCAAGCTCAGTATACAGAAAATCACCTATATTTGTTAGGAGGATGACTAAAGAATTAAAGTATCTTGAATCAAGATCTCCCTTACGACTCACAAGGCCCAGCCATATACTTTAAAAGGGTCTAAGTGAACTACATCACTCTTTCCCATTAAAATCAAAAGGCACACTATATTCCTTTTAGCCACAATAATGTACTTTTTTTTTTTAGCTACAATTAATCTCCCCCATTAATATCGTCACAGTCCTTTCTTCCCTTCTCTCGTACTTGGACCAGTAGTTCTCACATTCTAATTACCTGGAGTGCCTTAAAAATAAATCATAACGCTTGTTCATAAAATGAACACCCCTCCCTCCCAGAATCGTTTTTCCCCTTTATTAATGGTTCTAAATACTGAACATACTAGCCAAATTTTTAAAAAAAACAACACTTAATTCCGTGTAAAAAACCGTCAGCAACATTCAAGCTCTTAGGCAAATCACTCTTAACGATCTCATTTGTAAATTAGTAACACTCGTCTAATTCAAGACTGTTTTAAGGATTAAATAAAATAGCACGTGGGACAAAATTCCTGTACAGGTATGAAAAAAAAAAGTGCGCTACAAATGAACGGTTGTAGTATTACTAGCACTCCCGCCATTTTTTGTTTTTCATATTCGTACCCTTTCACAAAGTCCCAGTCCTTAGGCCTAATAGATGTAGAAAGAACTAACCCCAGAAGTGGCCTTCATTAATCTTTTTTACATATTTCAGAATCTCAGCGCCCACCATGGCTTTTCTTGAGCTCGCCATCACCCCAGAAGGCCAAGATGAACCCTGTTGCACGGCACCTTCCACTTGTTAAAGAGTAGAGTGAATGTTGTAAAATAATGCCTTGGGCATTATCTATTTATTTACTATTCTGCACACTGCCCAAATCCCTGTTGAATTCATGCCTTTTTTAAAAAGCCAAAATTTTCAAACTAACAATGGCAGGAAGCCTACATTTTAAAAAGTTTGTATCCATAACCTTTCTAGCGTATGGTTCAAACTGGGGCAAAGGGGCTGAACACGAGCTAAATCATGCGAGAACCGGGTCTCCTCTGCGAGGGTGGCGCTGCCGAGGGCCGAGACCGGTCGGCCACGTGAGGCCCGAGGTCCCCACTCACCTGTACAGGTCATAGCCTGCGGCCCGCGCGGACCCCCGGGTCGGGGCCGTGGCGTGCTCCGATAGTCGAACAAAGCGGAGCCGCAAGCCGCCATCCTCTGCAGGCCGGGCCCGCTTGCTGGGGGAAATGGCGGTTACTTCT